TATGTGGGATCCGAACCCTCGGCGGGAGCGCTGCCGTGCTCCCAAGTGGCGCACTGTAGCAATGCGCCACCGGGCCGGCCCTATGTGTCTTGTTTTAAATTTCTACTCTTTGTATGTTTTATGATACATGTATATACTATCTGCATNCGGGAGCGCTGCTGTGCTCCCAAGCGGTGCACTGTAGCAGTGCGCCACCGGGCCGGCCCTATCTGTCTTGTTTTAAATTTCTACTCTTTGTATGTTTTATGATACATGTATATACTATCTGCATGGTGAGCATGCTCATTTTTCTTCAGAAAGGACATGTGATCAGTAAAATTTGGAGATCATAGATCTACAGGTATAGAGAACAAGTCACTCTGAATTCCTGGAACTGAGGTGTCACAGGAACAGGTGGAGGAACTGGTATCACAAGCTGCTGGTGGTGGTAGTTTTAGAGTTTAAGGGTCTGAGCCAAACTCTAAGGCTATTGAGGGGAGGGAAACTCCATCCTTCCCCATCACTGACCCCAGACAAATACTGCACTCTCAGGCAGAAGAAAGGTAGGCTGAGCTTGGATATTTTGTAGACAATGCTGAACTGAGCATGGGGACAGGGTACATACAGGAGGATGAATGAGTGCTCTCCAGGCTGGAAGGGTGTCAGGGGAAGCTCCTGACTCCACTCCATAATGGAAAGGTGTTTATGCATCAAAAAGCTCTTCAGAGTACGCATTGGGGTCTTCCTGAGACCGAGTCACCACCTTGAACTGGCGCCGGAGAAAACCACCGTAACGCTTCTGGTTGTCCCACTTGAGCTTGGGGCGGATGCGCCGCAAGAAGCCCCCATAGCGTTTGTACAGGTCCTCATGGCCCACCCTGTCCCCGTCCCCATCCCCAGCTACCTCTGAGCTCCTCTTGGGGTATTTGCGCAAAAATCCCCCATAGCGTTTGACCTGCTCCCTGGGGTCTTCCTCATCAAAATCAAGTGCACCAGCCTCCAAGGTGCCATCACTTAGCTGAGCATCCCCCACCAGATCAGATTCCACTCCCTCCCCAAACCCATCAGTGAGACCCCTAAGCTTCTCTTCCAGGCTCTTGCTCACAGCATTCTCCTTTGTTGGGACACTGGGAAGGAATTTGCTTTTTTCCAGCTCCTTCAGGAAGGACCCAGCATGCTTGGCCAACTCACTATAAGGCTCTTCTTCCAAAGCCACCTTGCTCTCCAAGTTGTCTTTGCCATTGAGCCTGAGGGTGGAGGGGGTGAAAAAAGACAGAAAGCCCTGGCATCTCTCCCACTCCTCAGAGGACAGCAGGGTGGCCTGGCATCCCAGGGAACAAACCTGAAAAAGACCCCAAAAGACCACAGTGGTAATGTTACCCCCATCAAACTATTAAAACACTTGCACTGCCCTGTCCCACAGTCCCCTGTC